TTTCATAAGTCTGGTCAAAAGAGTCACCTCCAACGAAAGCATGTTTGAAGTGGCATTTCATCAAATTCTAGAACCAGCAGCCACATGGACCAAATTGGTTAATACCTTTTGGTAAATTCATTAAACCTTCCCTTCCATGATAGTTTTTCCAAAAAAATATATTCTTGTGTTAATAAATGTTTTTGTTGTTCAAACTATTGTTTGTTGCTTTTTTTTTTATCAGTGTAGGTGCCATAAAACAAACATAAATTACAAACATGTAATTTTTGAAACATGATATTATATTAAAAGACCGGAATACACGCAATAAACCAAATGTTTTAACTTCAAAATATTCAGTAACAACAGACCATTAGTTTCAACAAAAAGAGCAAAATACTAAAAAATCAACTACCAGTTCCATCATCATCGCGTAATAGATTTCACAGTTGATACAAGAAGATAATTTATCCTATTTCCTCGATTAAACGCCCGGGCGTATATTTCTTCCAGACACTCTTTACCCTCGGCAATCGCAAAGATAATAATTGGGTGAATTCAGTTCATAAAAAAATGCCCGTCATTTAATGAAATTCCGGCGTTTAATCGAGGAAATACGGTAATACCGTCACACTGTTCACTTGGGAAGACTTTCCGAACAGATCTTGGTTAAGCTATCATTGATCCTAACGAAGATGGAAACCTCCACATTGTACACACCCACTAGGAATATCACAATTCCAAACGATTTTGAAGAATATTCGTTTGTACATGAAAGAGGGGGGACGAACTAACCAGTGCTCTTGGCTGCGCGAAGCTGGGTCCATTAGACGTGTCGAAAACATGATCGTGGGTTCGAATATAATCACCAGATTATGTATGTTTCTTGGTTTGTTTAGTGGATTTCACCAAGGTGGTAAGCGTCTAGGATCTGCATTACGGCGGCTCAAAAATGTGCATAATCTGTAATTTGTTCTGTTATAGGTGTACTCGCGTAGCGTCCATGAATACGAAAGTAAATTAAATTGGAGACGGCTACATCTCGGAAGTTTGTTTTGGGCGATACAAATTATTACTGACCTCTCTTTTGATGTTATTTTGGACGACAGCATTTAAATTTCACACACAAACTTCGAGTAGTCCAGCATTGTTTTCACTTAAGCCAATGTTGTTTTTATATTCGTGGACGCCAACGTGTGAAGAAATCAGTCGACGCGTAACGGCTATCTAAAATCTAACGTATTGGAGATAGGATAGTCGTGGCGCTAAGATCGCATTGTTCGATCGAAGGCCTCGACTGGTCACTCCAACTGTGCATTCACTGGTATAGTTGACCCGTTGATGAATGCGTGAGTTAGTTGGTAGAATTTTGCTTGTTCATATAGTAGTGAATAATATGTAGTGGAGTGTTGAAAAACATGGAGCAAGGGCCTCAACTCTTTAAAATACATTTAGCAAGGGACGTTACTTGATACAAACAATGTAGGGCACCAGTTTCGTACTCATGTCTTGACAAGTATCTCTTAGATAAGCATGCCGACTTTCATTCATGTTACTTCAGTAGTTCTAAGAAAACTTGTCCCCATTTCACACAGTTTGCACTAAATTGAAAAGCATGGAGCAAGGGCCTTAACTCTGTAAAACTGAATTTAATACACAATTGTTCGAACATAGTTGAGATTTTGACCAGTAACACCAGTGTGTAAAATTTCATTTCTCGAAACTTCAATATTTTTTTTAGAAAGTTTTTCCCCACTGAGAAGTAGATGGAAGGACGGACAAATTCCGTTGCTATAATAATAAATGATTTCATAACCTGTGTTATGGATTTAACAGTGCACTTTCATAACTGGAATTGTGTAATCACAAAGCTATCAGAACAGGCTCAGTTTAAGGTAAACCACAAACCGGTTCATTCACAAACCCTTGTCAACCGGAGGCCGCATGAATTTCACCAAACAAAACCCACAAAGAATGCATCGAGATACCCATTAAAAGCTTTCATGTAAAAACTTTACTTTCAACTTTCATAACCTTGTTGCTATAAAAAGCATTTGATCAACACGAAAATAAAAAAAGCGCATGACAATTTCAGTACTGTGTTAATATTGGCATTAAGTTTCAAAGAAAATATATTCTCTGATCCAGAAATGAAAGTTACAACCCGTCTGGTTTTTAAGTTACGCTCTGGTAATGAAGGCAACCCGTATTTGGATTAAGTCAAACTTGTTGCCATGGAAACAGCAAATGGCGCAAGTTCAGCATGTGTTTGATATAAATGCAAGGTTTCACAATAAAATGTCAAACGGTTTCCGAGTTATGCACCGGAAACAATGTTACACGTATTACACCCATTCCTATATCCACCTTCCACTTTGTGTGTGTGTGTGGGGGGGGGGGGGGGGGGGGGGGGGGGGGTGTTAACGCCGCTTTTAACAGTATTCCAGTTATATCACTAGATTTATCGGTTGTAATTATTGGCATTTTGTTTTCATCCATTTGCTGTAGCATTGAACAGAATCATTCTGGTTCCTTTACATTATCTTTGGGAATTTCTTCTACGCTAGACAAGACAGGAGGAACCAAACTATTCCAACACAAATATCGATATTGAAACTGTACACGTTTAGTTATAAAATATACCCATAAGAAATTATGAAATAGTACTTCATAAAAAGGAGGTGATAGAGAAATGGATGGCCTTATCTAACCTATAACTTAGTCCTTAGATTCCAACATTCTCCTGATTGTGTAAGTGTAATTCTGACTAATGTTGCATCATTATTAATGGAGCACAAGCCTTATCATCAAATGTAATGAAATACCCTAAAAATAACACCATTCCTTTTGAAGTAATGGCTGGTTTTATGTCTTTGATAACGTCGGAAAAAGACGACACTGGTATTTTGATTTATATATATCTCCCCTAACTTTCGTTTATGGTGTGGAAAATCTCTATGTGTGGAACGGAATTTGACGCTTTTTCGACACAACATAAAATGACTGCTCTCACCAAGTAAATAATGTCTTGAATGTGTAAACAATTAGAAAGTTTATCGTGTATCTTAATTGGACAAGACACGCACCTGTTTGGCATCAATTTACGTAATGAAATTCCCAAAAGAATATTTCAAAACAACCAAAATTATATTCAATATTGGACATATATTTGTTCATGATTATGTTATTTTTTCTTACACAATAAAAGATGCAAAGAAAGCTCTTTTGGTATTGGTTTTGGTATAGATAATCGTATACGTTTGAACCAACGGGGTACCTGGCATGGGTTTTATTTTTATACATTTTACAATTCCTGGAGAAATAAAGTAAACTGTTTACTACCCTGTGATCACAATATTGAAAAAATAATGTAACCATTGATTATATATAATGCAAAACGAGAGGAATAATTCGTAAATTGTTTGTGACTAACGCGCACCTGGCGAATCGTTAGATATCACTGTTCTCTGTATCCAACGACATAAAAGACATATCCAAGACCAAGACATTTCAGAAATGTGTGCATATATTTTACCGAAAAATATTATCCATTTTGTTAAAGTAATATATTCAGTTTTAGTTATAAAATAAAATGAAACGGTTATATTCATGGACATTGGTTATATGAACTTATAATATTGACTTATTACACATCCCAAGAAATACGTACATGCTGCAGTTACGTTTACACTTCATCTTGTAACACTTGTTATGTAAACAATGCTCAAACAAACAGGAGATTATCAAAGGTTCGTTCATACATGTTGTGGACTATATGTACGTATGATTTCATTTTGAACATTGACAAATATCCAAAGCGAAATTCATTGTGTGAAAAAATGTATAAAAGACATGCAAAATATACACCATACTGAAACTGTAAACAGCATGATACAATGATCGTGTGCACTCTCATTCAAGGACCTTCACCTCAAAGAAATTACCAAATATGTACAACAATGTTGACGTATGACATCACTACCTGTGACCCACTTTTACAAAATGGCGTGTACACTTTCAACAGTACGCGGGATTGTTCGAGGGGACTTTCGTTGATTCAGGGATCGTATAAACATAAATGTGACATGTAAGTAATCAGAAACATTCTAACAATCTATGTACTGTTATTTGTTTTCATAATTTTCATTGAAACAAACGGAAATAGTCAGAAATTCCGATAAATACCGTTGTCATGTGCGTGATTTTGCGTCAGTCATGGCGTCAACCAGAACGGTAACTTTGACAATTTCTGTTGAAAATATCAAATCATTGCAATGTATCTATTTTTAATTCGCTAATTCTTCCTACGATTCTCTTCCCATGCATATTCTGAAAATGTTGAGCCAATATCTTGAACGAATAGACGAATGGATAGCTCAAAATAGGAGAATATGCTACTTGGTGTAAAATCTGAATTTTGCTTTGTTTACATTTCAACCATATGCAGTTTTTCGAGCACAGCGTTCGTTTTCACACATAACTTATTTTGCTTGATTTCATCTAGCCACTCTGTATTGAGGACAAAGACCACTGGTCATTTGATTCTAAAATGTATGAGGAATTCAAGGATGTATGTATCGCAGCTAAGTTTGAAGTATACGTGATGTTACAGGCGTCTCATAACCGGTGTACCTGAAACGTGATTTTGTAAACACTATCCAATATGGCGGAAAGTTCACTTCGGCGTTCGTGTTTTCGTTTTTTCCAAAACATTCTAAACGATTCTAGGGTTATCGGAGACGTTTTGGAATGATCATTGGTGATTTCATAAAAGACAGATACCCGTGATCACTAATATGCTCTTGTTGAAATTCATTTCTCCGAGTAAATATCCGAAATTTAGATTTCAAAACATGCTGTAAATAACGCCGTGAGTGGGGATTTAGTAATGTGTAAAAAATGGCGACATTTACGATGTACCTAATTTTCAGAGGTCATGTTCAGTGAGGGTTGTAGAGGAGGGACATATATGTCCCTGTGGCATCCAGGGGGTTCAAACAAACAAACAAACAAACAAACAAACCACTTGGTCCTGGAGGCTTGATTCTGGTGATCCGAATGGCAATACATACGGTGTTGACAGCTGTATCCATATGAACAGTGGTTGATACTCATCTTTTCCTCAATTATTAACATGAATAAAGTAAGGAAACTCGGAGTACATCGAGTGAGTAAACATGACACTGAAGAAGACGCTTTAACATCAATCACACAAAAATACATTTTCAGACCCTCAAATAAAGCCTGCTTTTCACACTTATATACAACATATAATGTGGACATGCAGATATAAATTAGATTAAGAATTAACTATGTATAGAATATGAAATACACGCATTGCGTCACTTCAAATTAGCGGTATTAACTAATATTTCGAAACTGAGAGTTATCTCCCTTCCGTTAGTGCCGCCTGTTGCCTAGCTACCGATCTCAGTAAAGCGACGCCATTTTGTCTTGCTTCATCTGCTGTGTCTCTCCTTTGTCAATCTATAATCTACCTTGGATATTGAGCATCGCTTGAGTTTTTCAAGATGCAGTCAAGTGGTTATGTTCAAGGTACCAATGCATCACAGTTTTATGATGATTTTGTTTCACCTTACTGTTATATACTGTAATACAGCATCGATGTATTTCGGTGACCGCCAGGTTGATGCCTATCTGTAAGGTCTCTACATCATTGATCAACGTGTTTTAAAGATATTTTAAACGCGTTTCTTGTCTTTTTTATATATTCTTGGTACTTAAAATCCTACAATGGCCAATCCTGACCAAAGTGAGGTGCACAGATAATTCTGAAGAAAGAAATAAATACATACAACTGATACGAACGTAACGTATACTTACAAGCTTACCTTCTTTTTTTTTATCACAATTAACCTATGACTTTACATAAATAGTGAAGCGCAGACAATACAACTGTTACGAACGTGTATAAGATAGGCCTATACGGTATATACTTACAAGCTTTCGTTTTTAATCACAATTACTTTACAGTGTAAATAAGAGTGTGCATGTTATATTTATTTTCACTTCTCCCCACACAGAGATGATGTTTCACCAGGCTTTCACCCCTGCTGCCACTCCTGTCCCACGTCGAGTATGTGTGCTAGGGTTGTAGAACATAACCAACTTTTACAACAGATCCTTGTCTAAATCTCAGTGTGTCAAAGTGTTGATGTTCCATAACCTACTGTATGCCACTTTCCTAACTAAAGATACACCACACCCTACCTATCACTAGTATCAGTATCACGTTTGTCTCATCATTTCTCTCTTTCCACTTCCCTCCCCACCAGCGTCCGTGTGTGTACCACCCTGAACCCCTGTCCACCCTCCCCACCTCCTACACCTCTGTCCCCGACCCAGCCCCTGTCTCTGTTTCTGTCAACATCACCGGCCACGTCATTATGGTTGACACCGACTTTGTGGAGATCGATCTCGGCCGTGAGGAAGACACACAATCCCTCCCACCCCAGTCCTTCCTGAGAGCCTTGCTGTCCCGCTTCATCCGTCTGGTCAAGAGAGTCTTCACCTTCAACAAAAACGACGCTTAAAGTGATAATTTGTAACAATCTGAGAAGTCCCCTTTCCTCTTTTTTTATGGACACTTTAGCAAATTAGTTATCATTCCCATTTGGTTGTTCTTTCATTAGCATGATTAGTAAATTTTGTTGTTGTTCAAATTGTTGTTGGTTGCTTTATTCTATTATTAGTGAAGGAGCCTCCTTATGTATGGAACAAACTCAAACATAACCTGAAGCTACGAGTCACATTACACAATTCTGCATTCTGATTCTACATTTGTAGATCTCCTTAGGTCTGTGACAACTTGGCGAATATCGTATGCAATAGTTACAACAATAGGTTTAACAAGTTACTCGAACCAGAAATCGAACCTTGATCAGGGTGTGACGAGCGAACACTAACTGCTGTGCCATCCTTCAGTCAATCTGTTTTCAGATTTGCCAGTTTTAAATGTTCAAATATTATAGAACACTAAATGAAAACCCCTCAAAAGATTACTAGCCGAGTGTGTGTAATTATATATGGAATAAAAAAATATATAATGTGAGCTCAGCAATTTGTTTGTTCAAACCTGAGGACAATTATTTCCCCCACCCCAAATTCAAACACGTGTTTAAAATAGGGATGGTAAGAACATGAATAGGGATGTATCAGGAAAGTTTTTGAAGAGAAGTCCTAACTCAGTAGACTATGGGCCATAAGACCTGGACATGATTTTCAGCACCTGTCTCCCTGGTCTTGAAACAAAAATGTATTTAATGTGCTCTTGATGCTGATTTTGTGGAAAATCACAGGCCATGTTATTATGGTTGCTCGATAACAGTATGCTATGAAGTTCTCAAACGATTTCTTACCAAAACAGGCCTAGGCTTCCTAACATTGAATTGAATTTGGTGAAACAGGTCAATAATATACTGGTATACTTTATACCTGCAGAACTAATTACAGTTTACAGGATAATTATGATAATAATTTGTGTACTGTACCATCAAAATTCAATTCGGAAATATTTAGGAAATATTTCTTCCTTGCTAATTATTTCCTAGCTTTCATAACTTACCTATGAATAAATTGATTCAATCTTTGTGATGGTCATGACAATATTATGGTTGACACTAACTTGAGACTGACTTATTTGAGATTTTGGCAGTGAAGAAGAAACAGAAACCCTCCCAGCCGTCCTTCCTGAGAAGCACGATGTCCCGTCCCGTGTCATCCGAGTGGTCAAAAGCGCCTTCACCTCCAGCAAAAACGTTTAATGAAAGCTTTCCTTGGAACAAGTTCCAGGATATTTTGTTGGGTTCATGAACTTTTCATCTTGTTAATTATTTCCATATGGTTTCAGTTGTATAAATAAATGTTTTTGTTGTTCAAACTGTTTTTTGCTGTTATATTTTATCAATGTTAGTGCCGCCTAAATTATCAAAAGCATGAATAACATCCTAAAAAGATGCTACAGAATTCTGGTTCTTGTCTAGTAGTAAGTCTAGGTTAGATCTAATAACCAAATAGGTTTATACATCATGAGGTATAGATTAGCGCATCTTTTGATATTGTATGCACAATCATTGAAGTTTTTTTTTATGAAATAACATCAAGAATGAATTCTGCCTCTGAGGACAGGGATGATTTTGAAATGACTAAAGTGCTTGACAATAGGGCTGGGACGAGTCCAAATTTACTACCCGGGTACCCACCCCCTATAACCCGACCCTACCCGGGTACCCACTGTAAGTCTCAGGAGATGTCACAAAATGTCCGATTGGCAAAACGTATTAAGATACATGTATTGAACAACCTTGCATTCATACACTAAAGTTTTAACTTTATTCCACCATATGAAAAATCAGAAGGAATGGGTTCATATTCAGAAAGAAATGTGAACATTAGTGACTTGTAGTGTAACCATAGATAATTTTTTCATTAAACAATATATCACGTGACTAACCACGGGTCCGGGTAGTCCTGTGGGTACCCGGATCCTACTCAGTACCCAGCTGACCCGGGTACCCAAGTTACCCATCCCAGCCCTACTTGACAAACCTAGCCTGACTGTAACTATTGAATCACAATTCTTTATTAATAGAATGCGACCAGACCATAGTGACACTTCTGATGGAATGTCTACATTAAAGAAGGTTTTTCGCCATTCCAAATGAACCCTGTAGGAAACTAGGATTTCCACAGAGTATAATAGGTCCTTGGTATCCATTGCTGGCCATAAGAGCCAAAAAACAAGATTCTTGCTCATGCTTTCAGTCACTGGTTTGTGTGATCATGACTTGATATCATATACAAGCCGGCGTGATACAGCTTACTTCCGTGTGGTCACAGATATCAATGTATATTTTCAGTTTACGAGAGTAAATAATATGAGACATTTGCAACACTGTTCATCCTCTATAGTTTCTGCTTTGAAAAACTTGAAGCTTCTGTCATAGCTCTCAAAAGTGACAATTTTCCTATTCTTTGGCCATACTTAGTTTTTGTTGATTTTTTGTTTTGTTTGTTCTTTAACGCTGCACTCACCAATATTCCAGCTATATGACGTAAGGTGTATGACGTATGTAAATAATGGAGTCTGGACAAGACAATCCAGTGATTGACATCATGAGCATCGATCAACGCAATTGGCATACAAAGACATGCATCAACCAAGTCAGCAATCCTGACCACCCGATCCTCGTTAGTTGCCTCTTGAACGCTTGTTTGTTTGTTGTTTATGCCGCACTCAGCAATATTCCAGCTATATGACAGCCGTCTGTAAACAATCCAGTCTGGACCAGACAATCCAGTGATTGACATGATGAGCATCGATCCACGAAATTGGGATACGATGACATGCATCAACAAGGTCAGCGAGCCTGACCACCCGATCCCTTTTGTCGCCTTTTACGACAAGCATAGTCGCCTTTTACGGCAAGCATGGGTTGCTGAGGATCTATTCTACCCCGGATCTCCTCTTGAAAGCAAAGTAGCCTCTTACTGCAAGCATCAGTTGCTGAAGACTAGTTCTAACCTGGATCTTCATATTAGATGTTACCTGACATACTCCTTTATAATGTTTATGAACCTCCAGTGTAACATTTCCTGCAGTGTTAGTTTTGTTCTTTCCAATCTCAAATCTTGATATATCCATTTGATACCATTACATATTTTACTATGCATCGGCATGCAAAGAGATCCTGATCTCGTTAGTCGCCTCGTACGACAAGCATATTCTTCTTTTACGGCAAGCATGGGTTGCTGAAGACCTATTCTACCCCGGATCTTCATGGGTCCAGATTACATTGAATCCATGCATATACAAACATGTACTATCAACACAAGCATTTGTAGTGCACATGCACGAAAGCACTATCACAACTTACTGTCGTCTAAATGAAAATCCAACTCTTCTGAAAAAATTGTTTTCTATCTAATGGCTGTAGATGAGATTTCTCTTAAAAAGATGTCACCATTAGATGATTTCACTCATTAGTGGTATGTGGGGCAGCCAATTGGCTGAATCACTCGCTCGTTAGCCTGAACAACTTGGTTCCATTATTTCTAATATGGGTATACAGCGGTAGAAAGTAACAGTTTAAGTGATATAACTTATAATGATAACATATAGCAAACCCCTTAAAAATGGAAAATTTCTACTAATCCTTTGGATACCTTAACTATTGGGCAGTTTGGCAAGGACCACAGGATTAGTGCCAATTTCTAACGCTGGGTATGTCAGACAAGTAGGCTATATCAACTCCTACTAAAATGCACTGAAAGGCCAAAGAAAGTAGCCACCAATTTTGAGGACTAATAAAGTAAAAATTTCATTCGGTAAATATTAAACATGTTTAATTCATAGACAAAACAGACTCTTACAGGATCACATGACCAATTGTGTCTCACAAGCAACAACCTATCACTGTTTCATTGAAGGTGATGAAAGATGGCTGGATCTTGAACAGAAGTTCAACAAAAACTACTGATTAGTAGTTTTCAGCTCAACAATGTCATCTTAGAAAGTCTATCAGCATCTTAAATGTAAAGGGTAAAGTCTGTGAAAGTGATCTTCACATCCTCTACATTATCCAACAAAGTTTCGGTTACAACAATTACATCAAATTTGTTCACATATTTGACAAAGTCCTTATCTGTTAACTCATATATTATGCCTGAGACATTCCAGAAGAGAAAGTTAGTGAAGCTATTATTACTGTCGCTTCTCTCACTTGATGGGTTCTCTTGATGAGCAGTAAAATCAGCGTATAGGCCCTGGCCACACCCCTATCTCTGCCTCCCTACTGCTGACCTCTGTGACCTCGAGCGCGTCTCTCATCCTGTTGTCTTTCCTCTCTCTCACCCTCTGTGCCTCCAGATATGCTTTCCTGTGCAGCTTGGGGGCACGGGTGGCCCAGTCGGCTAAGGCGCCGCGATTCGCTGTGCAGAGTTGCGTCCCTTGGACACGCCAGAAACCTATTATCGTCGGTTCGAATCCCGGTTCACCCCAATTATGTTCTAGGTTTGTCAGCACCATACCCCGTGCTCGTGGGTTTCACCGAAGTGGTAAACGTCTTAGACCTGCGTCAATTCGGGCTTTCCTCCCACATTAAGCTGACACGCCGTGATATAACTGGATTAATGGTAAAAGCGGCGTTAACACAACTCACTCACTCACTCACTCACGCACTCCTGCGCTGCTTCATCTTTTCTAGTATCTCTCCTCTCTTCGGCTTCCCTCACTAATTTCCCTTCTCTGTAGTAGAACCGTGTGTCTGGTTTGTCTGTTCTGCATTTGAGTAATTCCTGTCTCTGATTCAAAGTCAAGTCATTAGAGATGTCATATCCTTTACCTTTAAGGACGATCCACATTGACACAGCTTGCATTTTATCGTCCCAGTGCAGCATCTTCACGATAAGATTTATTAGGCTTCTTCGTCGGCATACGATGTGCACGTTTCTACATCTCTGGAATTGAGCGGGGGAATTTCTTCTCTATCTTCAGTACTTCCAGAACTTTCTCCTTACACACCATATATGATTCATGTTGTAATTCAGGCACTCCATATAATATTACATTATTTTTCCTGTTTCAGCGTTCTTGGATTCATAGTTGCGTTATTATAAATTCACAAGGTTTTGAGGGAATTGTTCGATAAGCATAACTTAAAAGTTGGGTGGGCCAAGTCGCCTAGGGCGCCGCGATTTGCTGTGCAGAGTTGCATCCCTTTGGCACGCCTATGATTGTGGGTTCGAATCCCGGTTCGCCCCGATTTTGTTTCTAGCTTTGTTAGCATCATACCCGTGCTCGTGGGTTTCACCGAAGTGGTAAACGCCTGAGACCTCCATTACTTAGGGCCTTCCTCCCACGTTAAGCTGACATGCAGCGATATAACTTGAATACTGATATAAGCTGCGTTAAACCCAACTCACACTCACTCACTTAGAAGTTGACGGATGACAATGTACACACAATTTATGGATAACAACTTCTTTATTTTACTGTAACATCGACGTTTCGGTATAGATCCTTATACAGTTGTCAAGCAAGGCTGAATAATGAACATGGTACAAAATATATATAGAAGGTGGAGGATTAACAGTAACAAACAATTGTAACATGAAAGAGATAAACATGAGTAAGTTAAATAATACACATGATAAGGAAGCCAATGAGACAGGATAAGTATACATAGGAGGGGTCGCTATTGCTAGATGAGTTCACAGTAGGCGGATAGGATGAAATGGCCTTGATCTCTGTTGATTGATGGTTGTGGCGGCGAATGTGGACTGCTTCTCTTAGTTTGCTTTTTGTGAAGTCCTGGAGTTGTTGGAGAGGATTTGGGCGGTTCATGTTGTGATTAGGGCAGTTGCTGATGTGGTCCGAATGGTTGACTTACTGTCGGATTTGATGGTTGAAGTTTTGTGCTCTTTGATTCTGGTGTTGATGGGGCGGGATGTTTCACCTACATAGGATTGCCCCTCATCACCAGCCGCCTCCTCAAACAGCAATCCAATATTGACCCCGACTTCGCCAGATCCACCAGCCTCAATTCTCTAAGAAGGGTAACGGCAGAATCAAGCCAAACACCAAGAACCTAAAGGTGTAGTTTATAAAATTGACTGTAACTGGACAATCCTATGAAGGGAAAACATCCCGCCCTATAACCGTTTGCATTCATCTAGCACCCCAACATTTCCAAAAAGAATACACGAAAAAAAGATTCAATAATTGTATCCTTTTCCTGTTCACAAATCTTAAAGTGGACACTCATATATTAATTCGACTATGAATTAATTAGTCATAGAATATCAAATAAACGTAACGCCACATCAAATTAGCGGTATTAACTTATACTTTGAAACTGAGAGTTATCTCCCTTCCGTTGGTGCCGATCGTTGCCAAGCTACCGATATCAGCAAAACGACGCCATTTTATGTTGCCGCATTTGCTGTCTCTTTGTTTTCAATCTATAACCTGCCTTGGATTTTGAGCATCGCTTGAGTTTTTAAACATGCAGTCAAGTAGTTACGTTCAAGGTACCAATGTGTCACAGTTTCATGATGATTACGTTTCACCGTGTGGTTATATAATCGGTTACCTTCAGGTTGAAGCCAAGGTCTCATCACTAAGGTCTATAACAAGGCCTATAGAAATCTCAACGTTCTTCAACGTTTCTCAAGATATACTAAACCCGTTTCCTCGCATTTTATATTTCTTCTATGTACTTCAATTTCTTCAATGGCCAATGCTTACATAAATAGTGATTTTGTCCTGCCCCAGGTGAAAAGCACACTAACAAATAGAACGAAATAAATAAATACAACAGAGACAAACGTGTATAGATATATATAGACCTATATGGTATATACTTACAAGCTTACGTTTTTAATTACAATGACTTTACAGTGTAAATAAGAGTGTGCATGTTTTATTTATTTTCACTTCTCCCCCACACAGAGAGGATGTTTCACCAGGCTTTCACCCCTGCTGCCACTCCTGTCCCACGTCGAGTAGGTGTGCTAGGGTTGTAGAAACAGAATATGACTAACTTTTACAACAGATCCTTGTCTAAATCTCAGTGTGTCAAAGTGTTGATGTTCCATAACCTACTGTATTACCACTTTCCTAACTAAAGATACACCACACCCTACCTATCACTAATATCAGTATCACGTTTGTCTCATCATTTCTCTCTTTCCACTTCCCTCCCCACCAGCGTCCTTGTGTGTACCACCCTGAACCCCTGTCCACCCTCCCCACCTCCTACACCTCTGTCCCCGACCCAGCCCCTGTCTCTGTTTCTGTCAACATCACCGGCCACGTCATTATGGTTGACACCGACTTTGTGGAGATAGATCTCGGCCGTGAGGAAGACACACAACCCCTCCCAACCCAGTCCTTCCTGAGAGCCTTGCTGTCCCGTTTCATCAGTCTGGTCAAGAGAGTCTTCACCTCCAACAAAAACGACGCATAAAGTGACATTTTTGTAACAATCTGAGAAGTCACCTTTCCTTTTTTGTTGTATGGACACTTTGGCAAATTAGTTATCATTCCCATTTGGTTGTTCTTTCATTGGCATGATTAGTAAATTTTGTTGTTGTTCAAATTGTTGTTGGTTGCTTTATTCTATTGTTAGTGTAGGAGCCTCCTTACGTATGGAACAAACTCAAACATAACCTGAAGCTACGAGTCACATTACACAATTCTGCATTCTGATTCTACATTTGTAGATCTCCTTAGGTCTGTGACAACTTGGCGAATATCATATGCAATAGTTAAATATCGTAGTCCAATAATAGGTTTCACAAATTACTCATGTTAGAAATCGAACCTTTTGGTCAGGGTGTGACGAGCGAACACTAACTACTGTGCCACCCTTCAGCCAATCTGTTTTCAGATTTGCCAGTTTAAATATGTTCAAATTTCATAGAACACTCAATAATAACCCCTCAAAGATTTATTAGCCGAGTGTTTATATATACTAGTATATATATGGAATTAAAATATATATAATGCGAGCTCAGCAATTTAGTTGAGGACAATTATTTCCCCAAAAAAACTTCGAACATTGTGTTTAAAAGAGGGATAGTAAGAACCTGAATAGGGATGTATCAGGAAAGTGTTCGAAGAGAAGTCCTAACTCGGTAGACTATGGGCCATAAGACCTGGACATGATTTTCAGCACCTGTCTCCCTGGTCTTGAAACAAAATTGTATTTAATGTGCTCTTGATGCTGATTTTGTGGAACATCACAGGCCATGTTATTACAGTTTCTCGGTAACAGCATGCTATGAAGTTCTCAAACAATTTCTTACCAAAACAGGCTTCCTAACATTGAATTGAATTTGGTGAAACAGGTCAATAATATACTGGTATACTATATATCTGCAGAACTAATTACAGTTTACAGGATAATAATGATAATAATTTGTGTACTGTACCATCCAAATACAATTCGGAAATATTTAGGAAATATTTCTTCCTTGCTAATTATTTCCTAGCTTTCATAACTCATAAATAAATGTATACAATCTTTGTGATGGTCATGACAATAATATGGTTGACATTAACTTGAGACTGACTTATTTGAGATTTTGGCAGTGAGGAAGAAACACAAATCCTCCCAGCCGTCCTTCCTGAGAGCCATGATGTCCCGTGTCATCCGAGTGGTCAAAAGAGTCTTCACCTCCAGCAACAACGTTTAAAGCTTTCTTTGGAACAAGTTCCAGGATATTTTGTTGGATTCATTCACTTTTTGTCTTGTTAATTATTTCCATATGGTTTCAGTTGTATAAATAAATGTTTTTGTTGTTCAAACTGTTGTTTGCTGTTATATTTTATCAATGTTAGTGCCTCCTAAATTATCAAAAGCGTGAATAACATCCTAAAACGATGCTATAGAACTTTGGTTCTTGTCTGGCAGTCAGTCTAGATCTAACAACCAAATAGGTTTATACATCATGAGGTATAGATTAGCGCATCTTTTGATATTGTATGCACAATCATTGAAGTTTTTTTTTATGAAATAACATCAAGAATGAATTCTGCCTCTGAGGACAGGGATGATTTTGAAATGACTAAAGTGCTTGACAATAGGGCTGGGACGAGTCCAAATTTACTACCCGGGTACCCACCCCCTATAACCCAACCCTACCCGGGTACCCACTGTAAGTCTCAGGAGATGTCACAAAATGTCCGAATGGGAACATTTTTAGCATAGCCCTGGCAAAACGTATTAAGATACATGTATTGAACAATCTGGTCATTCATACACTAAAGTTTTAACTTTATTCAACCATATGAAAAATCAGAAGGAATGGGTTCATATTCAGAAAGAAATGCGAACATTAGTGACTTGTAGGGTAACCATAGATAATTTTTTCATTAAACAATATATCACGTGACTAACCATGGGTCCGGGTAGTCCTGTGGGTACCCGGATCCTACTCAGTACCCACCTGACCCGGGTACCCAAGTTACCCATCTCAGCCCTACTTGACAAACCTAGCCTGACAGTAACTATTGAATCACAATTCTTTATTAATAGAATGCGACCAGACCATAATGACACTTCTAATGGAATGTCTACATTAAAGAAGGTTTTTCGCCATTCCAAATGAACCCTGTAGGAAACTAGGAATTCCACAGAGTAGAATAGGTCCTTGGTATCCATTGCTGGCCATAAGAGCCAAAAACAAGATTCTTGCTCATGCTTTCAGTCACTGGTTTGTGTGATCATGACTTGATATCATATACAAGCCGGCGTGATCCAGCTTACTTCCGTGTGGTCACAGATATCAATGTATATTTTCAGTTAACGAGAGTAAATAATATGAGACATTTGCAACACTGTTCATCCTCAATAGTTTCTGCTTTGAAAAACTTGAAGCTTCTGTCATAGCTATCACAAGTGACAATTGTCCTATCTAACATTTTATTGAAAAAAGTCAATATCCATTGGCCATACTTAGTTTTTGTTGATTTTTTGTTTTGTTTGTTCTTTAACGCCGCACTCACCAATATTCCAGCTATATGACGTAAGGTATATGACGTATGTAAATAATCGAGTCTGGACAAGACAATCCAGTGATTGACATCATGAGCGTCGATCAACGCAATTGGCATACAAAGACATGCATCAACCAAGTCAGCAATCCTGACCACCCGATCCTCGTTAGTTGCCTCTTGAAAGCTTGTTTGTTTGTTGTTTAACGCAGACCTCAGCAATATTCCAGCTATATGACAGCCGTCTGTAAACAATCGAGTCTGGACCAGACAATCCAGTGATTGATATTATGAGCATCGATCCACAAAATTGGGATACGATGACATGCATCAACAAGGTCAGCGAGCCTGACCACCCGATCCCTTTTGTCGCCTTTTACGGCAAGCATGGGTTGCTGAGGACCTATAGATGGCTGTAGATGAGATTTCTCTTAAAAAGATGTCACCATTAGATGATTTCACTCATTAGTGGTATGTGGGGCAGCCAACTGGCTGAATCACTCGCTCGTTAGCCTGAACAACTTGGTTCCATTCTTTCTAATATGGGTATACAGCGGTAGAAAGTAACAGTTTTATTGATATAACTTATGAGGATAACATATAGCAAACCCCTTAAAAATGGAAAATTTCTACTAATCCTTTGGATACCTTAACTATTGGGCAGTTTGGCAAGGACCACAGGACTAGTGCCAATTTCTAACGCTGGGTATGTCAGACAAGTAGGCTATATCAACTCCTACTAAAATGCACTGAAAGGCCAAAGAAAGTAGCCACCAATTTCGAGGACTAATAAAGTAAAAATTTCATTCGGTAAATATTAAACCTGTTTAATTCATAGACAAAACAGGCTCTTACAGGATCACATGACCAATTTTGTCTCACAAGCAACAATCTATCACTGTTTCATTGAAGGTGATGAAAGATGGCTGGATCTTGAACAGAAGTTCAACAAAAACAATCGAGTAGTAGTTTTAAGCTCAACAATGTCATCTTCTCCAAAATCAGAATTCGTTCCTGTTCTGGCTTTATAGTCTCCGCCACAAATAACAATAGCATCTCTTAATTCTGATAAAATGTCCAAGAAACTGTTTGGAAATATATTGATGCCATTTTTACGATCAACAGATAAAATGTTATACGAGCTAGATCCCTCAGGATAGATATATACACATGCAAATGATACGTCAGGTTGACGGCCGATCAAGGAATTATCAATATATACATATACAATTTTCCGTTATTTTACACCGTTTAATATATTTCTGTAGTTTCTTCTTTACAAGTACTATTATCCCACCTGAAATTCTGCCTGTCTTAGACAGTCTATCAGCATTTTTCATATAAAGGGTAAAGTCTGTGAAAGTGATCTTCACATCCATTACATTATCCAACCAAGTTTAGGTTACACCGTATTCGACCCATTAAGTGCCCAGGGCCCTTAAAAAAAGACAGAAAGGGTGGGCGCTTATTGGGGACAATTCAGGTCAAATTGGCGTAAATTCATCAGTAAGCCTTACCGTATTTTCTTGAGAATAGTGCGCACTTTTTTTCAAAAAAACAGCTGTGTAGAAGGGGGTGCGCATTATACACGAATTAATGAGTTTTGATGTTGTTTCCCCCATGGAAAGACATTACTGTTAGCACGTAACACCGGAAATACCATGTCAACAAATCCATACTGAAGTTCGCAAATTATTCATGTAATTACACTGTCTGGCTATAAAAAGTGTTCTTTGTATATCTGGACTTTTGTTTGTAACTTATTTCATTAATTTTATTCAAAATTCCTTTTAATATTGTTTAAATTAATTTCGGCGAAATCGTGTGTGAAGCGATCGGAAGATCGCACAACTCACCGTTATTAACAGCAACCACGGTCAAATTACCGCTATTGACGCCTTGAAACGAACTGAAGTTGACAGAGAATGGATACATATATCATAAATGCCATACTTTGAATCGTTAAAAGTCATATTTGTTTTTGTTGGACGATTCTATGTCAACACGTAATTCTCGCGATCACGTGCACGGGAGCCTTGACGGTGAATGGTCAGACTGGTTCCATGTAAAAAATAATACCCGGCAATAGCGATCAGCTGCTTCGCTTAGGGTTATT